CATTCCTACGAACCCTCGGTTTGTCACATATAAGCAGGTGGTTCCCCATGCTACTCAAACAAAACAAGAAAATGAACAATTTAAACATACATTGTCCTTTTACAAAATTATATGTCCAAAAGACAGAGTGACAGAGCGACAGTAGCTCAGTTGGTAGAGCATTGGCCTTCAGGCCTGAAGGTTGTGGGTTCAATTCCCACCTCTATACCTTCTCCACCGACTCCCACTGATGACTGCTGTCGTTGTGTCCTTGGGCAAGACACTTAACCCCACTTTTCCCAAAGCCCCCACTGAAAGATCAAGGCTATGCTCACACTCAGAGAGCAGCCGTCCTCCTGTGGACTCACCACCTGCAGAGGGTCAGTGAGGGGCTGGTGCTATGAGACTTGGGTGGCATCTCTGATTGCCACCCCCCTGACCCAGAAATGGATTAAAGGGTAGAAAATGGATGGATGGAAGATAAATAATAAATAAATAATAGAGACACACGACTACTGATCCTAGACATTCAAAATACACAGTGTCGCTCCCATCAGGGCTGTCGGGAGATGACGCATCAGCACCACCTCCTTTTGCACGGTTCAGCGAGGGCCTTTCGACGCCGCAAAGGCCCTCGCCTTCTTAGATGGCCAGACTATGACGCTGATTTTCCACCTGCCTCTTATGATGGTACATTTCCGCATTGGGCATTACATGACATCACAGCTGTACGTACAGTGCCTTGCGAAAGTATTCGGCACCCTTGAACCTTTCAACATTTCGCCACATTTCAGGCTTCAAACATAAAGATATAAAAATCAACTTTTGTCAAGAATCAACAAAAAGTGGGACACAATCGTGAAGTGGAACAAAATTTATTGGATAATTTAAACTTTTTTAACAAATAAAAAACTGAAAAGTGGGGCGTGCAATATTATTCGGCCCCTTTGCGCTAATACTTTGTAGCGCCACCTTTTGCTGCAATTACAGCTGCAAGTCGCTTGGGGTTTGTCTCTATCAGTTTTGCACATCGAGAGACTGGATTTCTTGCCCATTCTTCCTTGCAAAACAGCTCGAGCTCAGTGAGGTTGGATGGAGAGCGTTTGTGAACAGCAGTCTTCAGCTCTTTCCACAGATTTTGTTTTGGATCATTGTCCTGTTGGAAGATAAATCTCCGTCCCAGTCTCAGGTCTTTTGCAGACTCCAACAGGTTTTCTTCCAGAATGGTCCTGTATTTGGCTCCATCCATCTTCCCATCAATTTTAGCCATCTTCCCTGTCCCTGCTGAAGAAAAGCAGGCCCAAACCATGATGCTGCCACCACCATGTTTGACAGTGGGGATGGTGTGTTCAGGGTGATGGCAAACTTTAAACGAGACTTTTTATGGATATCTTTGAGAAATGGCTTTCTTCTTGCCACTCTTCCATAAAGGCCAGATTTGTGCAGTGCACGACTGATTGTTGTCCTATGGACAGACTCTCCCACCTCAGCTGTAGTTATCTGTAGTTCATCCAGAGTGATCATGGGCCTCTTGGCCGCATCTCTGATCAGTCTTCTCCTTGTTTGAGATGAAAGTTTGGAGGGACGGCCGGGTCTTGGTAGATTTGCAGTGGTCTGATACTCCTTCCATTTCAATATAACTGCTTGCACAGTGCTCCTTGAGATGTTTAAAGCTTGGGAAATCTTTTTGTATCCAAATCCGGCTTTAAACTTCTCCACAACAGTATCTCGGACCTGCCTGGTGTGTTCCTTTGTCTTCATGGTTCTCTCTGCGCTTTAAACAGAACCCTGAGACTATCAAAGAGCAGGTGCATTTATACGGAGACTTGATTACACACAGGTGCATTCTATTTATCATCATCAGTCATTTAGGACAACATTGGATCATTCAAAGATCCTCACTGAACTTCTGGACTGAGTTTGCTGCACTGAAAGTAAAGGGGCCGAATAATATTGCACGCCCCACTTTTCAGTTTTTTATTTGTTAAAAAAGTTTAAATTATCCAATACATTTCGTTCCACTTCACGATTGTGTCCCACTTGTTGTTGATTCATGACAAAAAATTTAAACTTTATATCTTTATGTTTGAAGCCTGAAATGTGGCGAAATGTTGAAAGGTTCAAGGGGGCCGAATACTTTCGCAAGGCACTGTATGTACTGTTTATGAAAAATCTAAAATTACATTTGATGCATTATGTAAGAAGTTCAACCTTTAAAAACAGGATTATTTCCAATACTTGCAGCTTTGTAACTATATTACTAAAAACATACAACATATTAAGTTTGATCCTTTTGCACTTATTTTCATTGATGCATATAATTCCTCCAATCTTAAAAGTGTAATATGTAAACTATACAGCAGTCTGACTGCACTTAAGACAAACTCAACAACTTACATAAAGCAGAAATGGGAAAAGGAGATGAACATTGTTATTTCAGAGGACATGTGGACAAGGATTTGGGAAGTACAGTTCTCAACGACCATTTCAAACAACTGGGCTGTGTCCAAAACGCTAGGCATCGGGCCGCGTAGGGTGGATATGTAGGCATCGAGGGAAGGCCGCGTAGCCACAGGCGAGTTAGGTGGCGAGACCTGAGGTGGATTTGGACAGCAGCTGCCTTCGTTGTCTGGCAACCCAAGACTCAGAGCGGAGCGGAGAGAAAGGACAGCGCCGCCATGATCGAAGGTGAAAAGTGAAAATACGCTTTGATTAGGGTATAATAGTTAATTGTAATAACATTTGAGGCGAGAAATACCCCCCTCTATTGTCATATCACAGGTCTGTTTGGTGATAAAATAGATTTTTTTTCGGACTTATCCACTAGCTAACAGCGGGGGTGGGCGGCGCCGATGCCCAGACAAGACTCCTAAACGCGTGGACTCATTTTGACAAACTCCCCTGATGCTAGTTGTCAAATATGAAAACAAGACAACCCTAAGTGAAGGCAATGAGGGATTTTCCTTGTTATAATAAATGGAATAATTACTAGTTCCATTATATATATGCATTATGTAGATTTAGCACTTTTTTAATGTAATCAATATATTTGTATGGCCCTTGCTCATCTGTTTTGTGTATATAAGTAAGTTGCATTATATTTGTTGAAACATGTTTTTTGAAAACAGATTAATAACTTGGATTTGTGTATATTACAATTGTCTGAAGTCAAAAGCTAACTTATTGTTAGTATAAGGACTGCTGATAAGTGTACTTTGTAAACAAAAATTACATACACATTCTGCCCTGATGTCTAATTATTATAGCAGTTAACAACCACAACTACTGCAGGAGTATAAGACAAAATATTGTATTTGTTGTCATTAATTTGTTTCTACTTTTTTTTATGTAATTACAGAATGAAGAGTCTGATCGTTGCCAGGATTGATTCCATCTGCTCATGATTTAATAAAGAACTTCTCATTTGAGACTCACTACACCCTTGAGTTACTTCTTCATGCAATCAGACTGTACAATGAGTAATGCTTGCTGACCCTGTGCATGTCTATCACATTATAAATATTTGCAAAACTGTACAGTAATAATTGAAATTGAATTGAGTTAATGGCTCTCTAATGTTAAGAAATTTGATGACATTGTTTTTCTTATATGAAAGATTTCTTTTATGTTGTTTCATTCTCTTGAGTAGTCACATGCACAACACTGGACACTGAAATGTGGGACAAATAAAGGATCTCTTATCTTCCCATATGGAATTCTTTTTGTATTGACTGCATTATTGTTTTAATTATTCTCTTTGAAAATAATGATTAACTACGGATTACATTTGAGTACTGTACTCTTTAACACGGCTTTGTAGTAGTAGTAAGTAATCTTTATTTATATACCGCCTTTTCACTGCACATCGGAGTCTCAAAGCGATTTACAATTGTTATTTTTGGGAGTGGGGGTGCCAGTACAGGAGGCACATGCCAGACCTATTGTACATATTTTTAGTGGTAGGGGAAACCGGAGCACCCGGAGGAAACCTACGCAGACACGGGGAGAACATGCAAACTCTTCTTGCTGAGAGGCGAGAGTGCTATCCACTCAGCCACCGTGCCGCCCTGTTGAATTGTAAACTATTCAATGATCAAGATTGATAAAAAAATAAAAATAAATAAGTACGTTGGTCCTATGTGTGTATTCAAAGTTAGTGGATGGATCTTACAAAATATCATTTCACTATCTGGCTACTGTTATATTTAATATTACGTTCATGATTAGATAGTTAAGGTTATAACTATAACTCTGCAGGTGGTGAGTCCACAGGAGGACGGCTGCTCTCTGACTGCTAATTTACACATCACGCGTTACAGCACGTACGCGTTATACGCGCAGCAGACGCGCGTAACTTTTTTCCATGTTAACCTATGATGATATTTACACTTCTAGCGTTATACGCGCGTATGACGGACATGTGACGCGAAGCTGCGCTCTAATTTAGGATGGATTTCTAATTTTGTGCGCGCACCAACGCGTCTCCCATTGAAATCTCATGTAAAACTTTATTTTTCTAGCGGTCCTTGGCTTTAGATCACATCTGCACGCACACTGCACTTGTGTCTAAACATCAGCAGGAGGAGCAGCAGGTTTTACAGTGATTCTGGACATCGTTTTTTTTCTTTCATAAAGTCTCGCGTCTGGACAAACCAGCGCACAGAGACCATGAAGACAAACACATGCATGTGATTTGTGTTGCTCTACATCAGTCCTCTGGCTCGTACTGTCCTCTACACTGCTCCATAGACTACACAGGGAGAGCATCAGAAGCCGCGGACCTGCGCGCACGGTCAGTGTAGATACTCCAAAAAAATGTTACGCGCAGAGAGCGCGCAGTAAACGCGTACGCGCTGTTTACGCCTACTGTGTAAATCCCCCGTGAGTGTGAGCATAGCCTTGATCTTTCAGTGGGGGCTTTGGGCAAAGTGGGGTTAAGTGTCTTGCCCAAGGACACAACGACAGCAGTCATCAGTGGGAGTCTTGATCTATACCTTGATCTATATAATTTCAAATGTATGTTATACTTTTATGGGCTTTTTCGAAATGTAAATCAAACAAAAATAGTTCTTGAGGAGGCCAAACAGCCTGTCAAAATTGGCACTCTTCTCCTGTGCCCGCCGCTCATCCTCCTCCCTCTGCATCCTCAGATCCTCCCTGTACAGCTCCACCAGCTCGCTCTCCCTCTTCCTATTCCTTCCCGTTCCTCTCTGCTGCTCCGCCTCTGGCTCTTCCTCCTCCTGCTCCGGCTCCTGCTCTCTGGCCTGGCTTGGCCCTGGTCTGGCATCAGGGATGGAGGCGATTAGGACTGGAGGGTTGATGGACGGCTTCTGCCCCAACACCTCATCCATGATGCCAAACCAGGGCCAAGTCCCAGCAGTGGGGTTCCCCTCCACGCCCTGGCCTGTTCCAGGGCATTTACAGTCCTTTAACACAAGAACTATATGTGGAGTCATGATGGGCTCATGTCGGCACAGGCAGACACACACACACACACACACACACACACACATGCAGACACACTCACACACATGCAGACACACTCACACACATGCAGACACACTCACACACACGCAGACACACTCACACACACGCATGTGACAAACTCACAAAAACAAGATTGATTTTCATACTTTATACTTTTTTTTCAAATTGTCCCACTTCTTACGGGCCTGCAGTGACGTAACCACCTCCTGCAGGTCAAGCTTTTCCAGGATAGTCCTATAGAAAAGACAGAAACAATAAAATAAAGAAACAGAAAAACTTACTTTATGTGTTGGAGAATTCCTGAAATTATTGATCATGTTAATGCAGAAAACAATAGTTATACGTTTCTCATTTTTGTTCTTTTGTTATGATTGATATACTCTTCTACAACTTAATTATAGATTTTTAATAATGATGACTGTTGTATTTGAGAATAGCATCAGCTTGTCTAAACCCTTGTATACCCATGTATATATTAAGTATTAAACTCACATTAAGAACAAAATATGCAGTCCTAAAGTCAATTCCAGATAACTTAAATTAATCATAAGCTAAACAGTGATATTTCTCAAACAGCTCGTACCTCCAGGCCGTGCTGGCGGAGAACTTCGCCCCAGTGAAGTCATCTCCTTCGTCCCTATGAACAAAATAAAACGTTAAAACTACATAAAGGAATAAAATATAACTAATTGTGACAATACTAATTTAGTTACAGTTACAACTAAGCTATCATATGCCACAGAAGAAAACACTCTAAAACAAATGAAATAGCGCAATTTGTTGCTTAAAATTCAAATAATATTTCTTTATAAGTGTTATAAGTCATGTAAGAATATTATAATTTGAAATATACTTACATTTATACACTACAGTGGGGACAGGGGTAGCTGCTGCTGGTGCCTCCATACTGAAAATAAAACCCCGCGAATCGAACCCCGCGAACTCAACGCGGGGAAGGCAGCGAAGCATACATCAGATGCATCCTTCATATCTGCTCCAAAAGTGGCCGTTTCCATAGAGACGAAGTCACGATGCCTACGCTGGCGAGCTCGCCAAGTGGTTTTGGACACCCCTGCAATAGCCGTCGCTTGAGGAAGTGACGTCACGAGCCTACATATCCACCCTACGCGGCCCGATGCCTAGCGTTTTGGACACAGCCCTCGAGGGACTTCTGTTGGAAGAATCTTGTCCGCTTCTTCATAACTCCAATACAAAAATCCAAGTTCAGCCCTACTCGAGCACACTGAATGTGGGGAAGCATCGAGCAGACCGCGGACACATTTTCTAGTCCTGTCAGACATTCTGGACAGACTTATATAATTGAATTACTAAAACATTGGGCTATGCCGCTATGGCATCAACAACTAATTCTTGGTGCTGTATATGGAATGTTTACCCAACAATGCAGATGATTTATACCTCTTGAAAATTATACTGGCATCCGCCAAAAAGTCCATAACAAAAAAATGTTGCAGAAACATCCACCTGTAAATCTTTTATTTTAATTGTGGAAAATAAAAACTTATGGAGCGGATGACCCACATGATGAGACTCCAGGAAGAACTGGGAAAAAGGCGCTAGGCAAAGTACGGTGCAACAAATGTGAATCATAGACTCAATGTTTTGTACCTTTGTATTATATTACTAGCCATTCCCCAACCTCTAAAGTTAATGTTTCAAAAAAAGCTAAAATAAAAAAAGCTTAAAAGGTTTGAAGATCACACTGTTGTTGCTAGAATCCTTGACACATGTGTGACACTGATAACTGATGTACCTGCTTGGGTTTAGATAGAAACTGTGTTTTATGTATGGCACTATTTCTAACTTGTTATGTTATTATTTTAATTTTCTATTATCTTAAATAATAGACCTTGTTAGATGTGTGCATGACCTGAGTGCGCCTTTTTCCTTTTATTCTGCTGTAGTATGCGCTATGATGAAATTAAAATGTCTCCACTGATGGACGAATAACGAAGAATATCTTATCTTAAAAACACTTAAAGTGTCACTGCCGATCACCATGGACAATACCAACACTTTTACCTTTTGACCCTCTCCAGCTTCTTTCACTACTGTCACCTTTACCCTTCAGACCTGCTTAAAAGACCGCAGACCCACCTCTGTCTGAGGGGTAATGAAGCTGATAATGCACTCTTAAACTCCAATAATATGTTTATTTGGCTGAATCAGAAGTTGTGTTAGTGGTGCAATGAACCCAGGACACTGACCCTGAGCTGTTTGCTCTGGATCAGGCCCTAAACCCACCGACCTGGATTTAAACCGGTCTAAGGGGAATTGCAGGACTCACACAGGCCTGAGACAGGACAGAGACATGAGGGTGTTTGTGAGTTTAGTCCTGGTTCTGGTCCTGATTGAGACCAGAGCCAGTCCGATACCAGAGTCTGAGCCAGAGATCAGATCTTCAGAGCTGGTGAGGGAGGAGTGTCTTCAGGTACCGCTGTCTCTGCAGAACAAAACCAAGGTGAGACTTTATCTTCTGGGTCTAGTTTATGTGAGCCAAAATGTTCTGTCCTCCGTTCCATATTCGAGTTAATCAGAACCGCTTCTAATCCTCTGATCCGGTTCTGGTCTCGGTCCAGGTCTCAGGCCAGTTTTACTTCCTCCATGGCTTCACCGATAATCATCTGTACCGGACCCTCCTGAACCTGACCTCCAGTTTCTGGGTCAACATCACTGAGACTGAGTCTGGACTGACAATGGAGCAGTTCAACAAGATGTGAGTCAAAAGTCCAAAACCAGTTCCACCAGGGCCGGGTCCTTATACCTCCCAGTATCTGGACTGTGGTATTGGTTAAAGCACTTAGTTCGGACTTGACTTTACACTTTATATATATTTTTACTTGCTGGTTGTACATGATTACATCACCACAGGACGGGCACCAAACTCGGCCAAAAATATATGGTGTTTACATTATAGTTCAGAATCTGGTACTGTATACTAGCAACCAACTCACAACAAACACTCTGATGTCATCAGCGCCTCTGTGATGTCATCAACCTCTCTATGATGTCATTAGTCTCACCTGCACGAAGCTGTAATCCTGATTGTACCTTCAGATGTGGAATGCCCATATTTGGATGTTCCTCTGGTTTAGTCTGTTTTTTTAAATATTACCTTGAACCTTTATTTATCCAGGAACTAAGAACCTCTTTTTCAATGGAGTCCTGGACAAGAGGCAGCAAAATTGTATGTTAGGAATGGACTGTGTGTGACATTACCCTAGAATAAGCCTCAACTCAGAAGAGGTCTATTTTACAGAAGCTAGAAGTGATTGTCTGGAGTTTGTCATAAAAAAGAGAAAAGGGGCTTTCAGACCGCCAACGCTGAAACGCTGAAGCCCCGCTCACCAGACGCGCATTCTCTAGTTTTCAGACGCAGAGGACTTCACACCAGAACGTCCTGACGCGAGCCGGAAGTACCGGAAGTAGCCGGCCGGCTCTGATGCTAACAGAGCTATGCTAGCGGCTTCTTGTGTACAGATCTTCTCCAATATGCAGCTTGTCTTTGCTCACAGACATTCCACGGGCTTTATATAACAGTAGTATGTGTTCACGGAGGTGCGGCATACGAGTTTTCATATTATTGAACGGTATTTCCGCATCGGCGAACACACTTGAAGCAGTTGCATAAGGTCACGGGAGCATGACAACGCGATAAAAGTTAAGCAGAATTCTAGAGTTATTGGAAAATTCTCTAAGTTTCCGCAAAAAGAAGAGCCGCTGACGAGCTTTCTTAACAACCCGGTTAGTATTTTTGTCCCATTTCAGGTCGTTAGACAGAGTTAAACCCAGGAACTTGCACTCCTCTACTATCTGCACCTGGGAGTTGTCGATTACGACAGGAGTGTGAGAACTGTTACGACTGAAATCAAAAACAAGTTCACATGTTTTTGCTGTGTTCAGGTGGAGATTGTTTACTTTACTCCACTGAAAAACATGTTCAATCTCTGCTCTACAAGAGGATTTATCATTATCACTGATGAGACCCATGATGGTGGTGTCATCAGCGTATCAAGTTTAAGTCAGAGGAAGACACACAGTCGTGAGTGTACAAGGTAAAGAGCAGAGGACCTAGGATACATCCCTGAGGAGAACCAGTGCTCACAGAAACAACATCAGAAAAACAGTCATTGATTTTTACTCTCTGAGATCTGTCAGTTAAAAAGCTAAAAATCCATTTACACATGACAACACTCAGACCAAGGGACATTAGTTTTTCAACTAATTTGCTTGGGACAAGACAATTAAAAGCAGAGCTATAATCAATGAACAGCATTCTCGCGACAGATTTACTATTGTCCAAGTGACTGAAGACAGAGTTCAGGGCCAAGGAGATCCCATCCTCAACATTCCTGTAATGTCTGTAAGCAAACTGGAGCGGGTCAACACTCACAGGAATCTGGCTCTTAATGAAGTCCAGCACAAGCCGCTCAAAAGTTTTCATAAGAACAGACGTGAGAGCCACAGGGCGGTAGTCATTGAGACATGTCACTGGAGACTTCTTAGGAACTGGAATAATGGTGGACCTTTTAAAGCACACCTGCACCGTACAGCTCCTGAGTGACAAGTTAAAGATGTCCGTTAAAACAGGGGCAAGTTACTCGGAGCACAGTTTCAGGACGCGGGGAGGAATGCAGTCCGGGCCTGCGGCTTTCCGAGCTGTGGTCCTGGACAAGACCCGCCGGACTTCCTCCTGAGTCACTGTGAAGGCACCCTGACATTCGGGGAAGACAAAAGGCAGGGGATCAGCAGATTCAAAGCGGCAGTAAAAGTTGTTGAGCTCATTTGGCAGAGTTTGGCCAGCAGCAAATTTCCCTGCACCTGGTTTCCAGGACGTGATAAGACTGATCCCCTTCCACATGCTTCGGGGGTCCTCTTCCCCAAAGAAGCCCTCTAACCTATCCCCATAGGAACGCTTAGCAGCTTTAATATAGCGTTCCACAGCGTAGCAGGACAGCTTGTAAGCACCCTCATCACCGGATTGAAACGCCAGTGTCCGCTCATTAATTCTCAATTTGACGTCAGTGTTCATCCAAGGTTTTTGGCTGGAGTGCTCTTTAATAACTTTATAGGGGACACAACAGTCAATGCAAAATTGTATCTATCCTGTCACAACCTCACAGAATTCATCAACATTATCAGAGTTAAAAACAGACCAGTCTGTGGCATCAAAGCAGCCCTGCAGCTTCATGTTTGCCTCCTCAGACCAGCACTGCACAGTGCGGGAAGTAGGTTTGTGCTGATTGCTCCTCTGTGTATAAGAAGGAAGAAGGACAACAGAGGAGTGATCAGACTTTCCAAAAGCAGGTCTGAGACTGGACCTGTAAGCTGCCTTCACGTTACTATAGCAGTGATCCAGGATGTGCGCTCCCCTGGTAGACTGACTCACATGCTGTAAAAGTTTGGTAATACAGACTTTAAGTTACATTTATTAAAATCACCACCAACTATAATCACAGCATTGGGGTGAGCAGCCTCATGTTTATGCAAAATGTCACTTAAGTCATTCAGGGCAGCTGTACAATCAGCCCGAGAATGAATATATACAGCACATAAGAAAATCACTGAGAATTCTCGGGGAAGATAGAATGGGCGGCATCTCAAAACCAGACACTCCAGGTTAGCAGAGCATGTTTTGTTTACAATACAACTGTCCATGCACCACCGCTGGTTAATTGAAAGACACACACCTCCACCTTTCGATTTCCCCGTGCTCTCCTTCTCTCTGTCCGAGCGGAAAATGGCGAATCCCGGCGGCTGAACAGCTGAGTCCGGGATATTCGGATGCAGCCACGTCTCGCTGAGGCAGTACACTGCGCAGTCCCGAGCCTCGCGCTGGTACTGGATTCGACTCAGGAGATCATCCGACTTGTTCGGGAGGGACTGAACGTTCGCAAGGTAAATGGGTGGCAGTGGGACCCTGGGAGTGCGACTCCGCACGAGAAGCCCGCCTCGCTTTCCCGGTGTCTGCGCTTTCTCCGTCGGCGAGAGACACTCGGCTCCGCACGGTGGTGAACACGGGGGAGGCACCCGGCCTCATCGCCCTGTTCCCCATCTCTGTCGCATGCCGCTCCTCGAGCTTGGACAGTTTTATCATCTACAGGTGGAAAGTGAGTTAGCTCAAAGAGCCTTTCTGGCTGTTGGATTGTTATCTGTGGATTGGAGACAATGGCGTTTTTGATGCCTTGAACCTCGTCATTGAAAAAATGTGCAAACTCATTGCATTTACGTTTGGAAGTTAGCTCTAATGGAAGCTGAACAGGGGGGTTTGTTAATCTATTAACTGTTGAAAACAGAACATGCAGATTGTTACTGCAGCCTTCAATCATTTCAGAAAAATACCTTTCTCTCATACCACGTAGCACCCAGTTAAACTCGAACAACGTATCTTTGAAGATCTCGTAATCAACCTGGAGGTTGGACTTGCGCCACTTCCCGCTCGGCCCTCCGGCACTTTCTCTTTGTGGCCTGACCGAGTCTACTTTAGCCCACGGCACCTTCCACTTCCATTTACATTCTTAGTTTTGTCAACTTTGGGTTTAGCCCCGCTTTTGATCCAAAAGTCCTCTTTGTTGATTTTGGGAAAAGATATTACGTCATCATCGTAACTTACATTTTCGGCAGTCTGTCCACTTATCACATTTTTACACATTGGAACAGTCCGGTTAACTCCCATTTCTGTTTCCAAAATATCCATCCGTTTTTGGAGAGATTTGAGCTGATATTCCAGAGCACCACAGCCTTCACAGACTTTTTTCCATTTCTTTCGTCCAGACACGACTAAATGGGTAACTCAGCGCGGATGATCAAAATTCTTTGTTCAGATTTCATGTAGTTCCAGAGCCTAATGGAGGCTTCATTTGGAGGCTCCAAGCATGAGCAGGCACGAGCACGAGCGCCGATGATTGACAGCCCTTGGCATCACTTGATTGGTTAACATGGACGGCATCGTGGATTTTGAGCTATAGCTAAGAGAAGGGAAGGCGGGACTTACCCGTAATAATAGAAATCATAAAATAAGTTATTTTATATCAACATTTAAGGCCAGGATGTCAATTTAATACAATTCTTAAAATTTGTAATTAATTTAAGGCCTGTGTAGTCGTGCGGCGCTGGTTACACTGGACCTACCCAGCCACAGTTGCTCATACACTCGGGCGTACCCCCCTGCAGAGTATTTAAGAGAATATTGTAATCCCACACCCAACCACATGATGTTGATTCTAACCGGTCCCATTTACGCTGCTATTTTCTCCTCTTCAGAAGAAAAACAATACCCAACCAAGCTGTCTGTTCGAAACAAGCAGCCGCTCCATGCCTCCATCCAAAAAGTAATCACACACGGGCCAATAACTGTACACCTTTTCTGCAGCGCCGGCTGCGTAGGTAAACATTTTTAGGGTGCACGGGTGGCTATCCAAGGGTCTTGCGGTGATCCTTGCGTTGATCATGTGACACCAGGTTACGTCACTAGGGCCACCGCAAGCTCAGCGCTGCACAAGTATACACTAGGCTTTAGCTCTGCGGCATTACAGGTGTGCTAAGACGGTTGCTAAAGCAAGGGGGAGTTTTCCCCACAAACGAAGGCCTCTGAGTGGTCAATCTTTATATGGTACATATCTGAATTCACAAAGACAATATCGCAAGAGAGCTTACTTTTACATGTAAGTCAATAGGAGGCAGAGCAAGTTGAAGCAAAACTCCACCACAAGCACTTGGGCTTCATTGAGCCAGCAGTTAGCATTGTCATCTATTTTACAGTCTATTGTTTCTGCCCATATGAACACAAAATACTTTAATTTTTTACTTTTTTCAGGAACGGGACTTGTTTGAAAACCCTTGCAACCGTAGCCATCAGCGGAGACACAGGCATTGTCACAGGTGAGGAGAGAGGAGGAGAGAGAAGGCAAGAGGAGGAGAAAGGTGGAGACTAGAGAAGGAGAGAGAGGAGAGAAGAGGAGAGGGGGAGGAGTGAAGTGGACAGTGGGGGAGTGGCGAGCACGGTTTATGTTGCACAGATAAAAGTATGAAGGAAACAACTGCTGAATCCAAATTCATAAAAAAGCATAAATTGTGACCTCTTTGGTATCCATAGCAACTTAAAAATGTTAAATTACTATTGACAAAGCTGCAGCTTGTGTCACAGAGAAGCACTAAAGGGTGGGAGGGTTAGGAGGGAGAAGGTAGGTCTGTTGAATAAGGATGGACGGTGAAGGGGGATCTGTTTCTGTAAGGGTAGATTTGAAACCAGCCAGAAAACAGTGATTCAGACCTTCTTCAGACCTGGTTCAAAACTGGCTCAGACCCAGTTTAGACACGGTCTTTTCTGTTGCAGTGGCGAACATGACCAGTCAGGTCCAGTACTTCAGTCTTGGGGACTCTTCTTTGGTTCTGGACATCACCGCGTCCTCTCCTGGTGTCCGGGACTTTGTCAAGAAAGTAAACCTGGACCCAGACCAGTTCAGCCCGGATCTTAATGCCCGGGCCTTCTACCTTATGAGTGAGTCCAAAGATCAGACTAGAGAGACCAAAGAGAGACCAAAACGAGAGACCAGAGGGACTGGAGAGTGACTTGAAAGACCATAGAGAAATCTAAGGAAGACCAGACACCAGTTAGAGACCAGAGAGTGAGGGAGCAGAGAGAGACCAGTCAGAGAGAGGTAGAGGGACCAGAGAGCAACTTGAAAGACCAGATAAATCAGAGAGACCAGCGAGAGCAACCGGAGACTGCAGAGTGAGAAACCAGGGAGAGACTCGAGAGAAAGACCGGGAAGACACTAGAGAGAGAAACCAGAGAGAGACCAGGGAGACACCAGAGAAAGGGACCCGGCCCAGGTTCCTCAGACCAGTTATAATCCGCCTGGTTTTGATTTCAGGTCATGATCCTGTCGTCAGCGACTCAGACCTGGAGTTGTTCAGACTGAGAGCGGACTGTAAAGGGTTCAGAGGAAATCCGGATTATGTCCACAAGAACCAAGGTTTGGCCCAGGAGTGAACCAGGAGTGGACCAGGACTGATCCAGGACTGGCCCTGTACTGAACCAGGACTGGACCAGTACTGAACCATGACTGAAACAAGCTTGAAGCAGTACTGGGTCTAAGTTCTATCTGGTCTTTGCAGAGTACTGCTCAGAAGAGGAGTCGATCCTGATGGTTTACTGATGATTCTCCTGTGAAATGAAAACGAAGCCTATCACAGAGCGCTGTAAACATCCCTGCCAACCTATGCTAACCTATGCCAACCTATGCCAATCAAGCCGGCATTTTAAAACACCACCTCCTGACTTCAACCTCGGCCTTCGAGCGCACATTCTCATCCCAGCTTTGTCTTTATGCTACCACCAGGACCTAGGCCTAATGCCATGACCAGAACCTCTGTCCTAAGGGGATAAGAAGCGTTGACATTTGCACCTTAAAACTGGGGTACCCAACTTTCAAACCACAACAAATGAAATTACGTAACGTCATCAGATTTGTCAGACAGGACTGTGAAAAGAGGCAAAAGCAATGATATTTATAGTCCATGCACCGCATCCAGTGTCTAGGGTGCCATACAAACACACAAATCAATAAATCATTGAATGCATTTTCGGTCTATGTGTAGTCTCTTCAGCCAAAATCACCTTGAAACCATTTAGTGTATAGCCTGTTTTAGTTAGCCCTTTTCCTCATGGAGCCTGTTAGCTCTGTAGAAGTTCTTCTTATGTCTGCACACCTGCAGACGTGTGCGGTGAGGCTGCAAGATTGGAATAAATTCAAATACATTTCTATGTGGCCCTCGGACCCTTCCCAGCTGTTAACCGGTCTCTTACATATATAAATGAACCAGGAGTCAACACTTAATGGAGGTTTGTAACATGCTATGTGCTACTAAGGCATCTTATATGTTTTTTCTGTTTTAATTAATGAACCCACATAAACTGAATTCATATTTTGAAGTAGTGTTGGTGTAAGTTGGCACTGTGAGGATTTTGTATTGCTGTGTGTGTTGTGGTTGCTGTGTTTTTAACACCCACGTGCCATAGCTACCCCGTACCACCTGACTGTCACCAACCAACAGTAGAGGTGACCCCTGCGATTGAGTGGAGGGAGGCCCTGTCAGGGCTTCTCCTCCAGCAGCCCCTCCCTCCCCTGATACTCCAGGAGTCTCTGCCTCTTCCCCCTCCCCTACCTGTTCCCTGAGCAGGGACAGATGTGTTGGAGCTGCCTCAGACTCAGCCCACTCTGCAATCAAGTGGGTACAAATCCTTCTGAAGCCAGCTCCTCTGTGCCAGTTCGTAAGCTCTGTTTCAGTGCGTTCTTGCCTTACTTTCCTTTTTGCTCTGTAGTATTAAGCTTTTTCACTTACTTGATTTTTTCTGTTTGCCGCAGATCTCCGCCCTGCCACACCTGGTCCCAGTCCTGATCCGGAGTTTGGTCTTTTTTCCCCCTGTGCCTTGTGATTTTCTTTTTGAATTTTGCATCAGACCTTTTTTTTTGTTACTCTGCCCCTGTCTGCATTTGGGTTCTTTGCCACATGTTACAGGCCCAGGCATCCGATCCAGTAGGGGCGGGTCCCGGCTCAAAAGTGGCCAAAATGACGTGCGCTGACATGCTTGCACTGCCACCCCGGGCCAATGGGGGTGGACCCAGAAGCCGAATTAGCCAATGCTAACATGTAGCATTGGCAGACCTCTCAAAAAAGTCTTTACAGGATGGTCCAAAAGTTGGCTCTTGGCCCAAAGCTCCGTTCCACATGTGTCAATGCTGAGGGGGGTGGATTTTTTGGACCACTCTAGTTTACTTGCTTTGAATTTTTGAAGTCTCTCATTCAAATAAATTGAGCTCTCGCTCATGCGCAGATGCGTGTTTTCACAATTTTCTTGTGGGCGGGACCACTCGCGGCCATTTTGGATAGCTCCAGTAGAGCAAATTTTTTGGCCCATTAGTTAGAACGGCGGAGATAGGCGTGACTCTGTCCGTTTATATATACAGTCTATGGTCTGATCCTGATATCCAGGCAGTCAAAACATATGTGATAGAGGACTGCTTCCCAGGCCGCCTGGACTGCTGGGCATTCACGTCTCGAGCCCACAAGTTACTGCAACAGTGGCAAAGGCTGACAGTGAGAGATGACCTATTGTGCTGAACTGTAATTGACAGATACACCCATGAGGAGCGCCACCAGATCATGTGCCTAAGCTCTTTGTGTGCAGAGGTGTGGAAGAAGATTCATGAGGCTGGAGCCCATTTTGGACCTGACAAGACTCTCGCCCGCATCAGGCAGCAGTTTCTCTGGCCAGGCATGGACGGGGAGGTACAATTGTTTCACAAGGGCTGTCTTGCGTGCAGACATCAAAAGAGCTGTGTTGAACCTCGTGCTGCGTTACATTCCATTGTTGCTGCATTCCCCTTTGAGGTAATCGCATTAGACTTTGGGTCGCCCCACGGACACATACCAAAACATTTTAGTTGCAACAGATTTGTTTACCCGTTTTGCATGGGCCATCCCCACAACCAAACCACAGTAGGAATGCTGTGGAGACACATCATTCAACAATTTGGCTGTCCACTGAGATTCCACTCGTATCGTGGTCCAAATTTCGAGTCTGCACTGATGCAGCAGCTGTGCACCTTATATGGCATAAACAAAAGCTGCACCTATCATCCCACAGGCAATGGTGGTGTTGAGAGGTTTAACCAAACCTTGTTGCACATGCTCAGTTCCCTGCAGGAGAAAAAGCAGAACCGTTGGCAGGACTATCTACCTGAATTAGTCCATGCTTACAACAACACTGCAGGTTATGCCCCTTCGTTTCTGATGTTCGGCTGGCATACAGTTCTAGGCCCCCAGCCCCAACCGTCTCAGTTCAATCTGAGCGGGTGGGAGGAAGATCACCATAGAAAGCTCTCCTTGGCGTACAACGTTGCTAGGCAGAAAGCGGACCGTGCAGCTTCACAGCAAAAGCAACAGTTTGACAAACGCGCCAAAGCTGCGCCTCTCATACCTGGCAAGTGAGTCTGGTTGCGAATCAGACGAAGAGAGGGGAGGGGCAAACTGAGTACTTGGTGGGATCCTCGACCACATGTCGTTTTAAACACTGTTGGAAATACGGGGGTCGTGTATCAGGTGCGCCCTGAAAAAGGTGGGCGCGAACAGACTGTGCACAGGAATGCCTTGAAAGTTTGTACACTGCACCCTGATGAGCCTGAGTCACTGCCCAACCCTGTACCCGTAAAGGGACATGAACTGCCTGTTGTCTATGTGTTCTTTCCAGCTGCACCATAACCGCAGTTGGAGGAACCCTAAGTGTTACCCTGCCGCTCCATTCGACCAAACATTGGACAACGCCATGCGCGGTATAATGACTAAGGGATGATGGGACAGCTCCGGGGACTTGTATCACAGGTTTGTAAAATCATAATTAAGAGGCATAGGAAGATTTATTACATTACGATGTAAAGTTCAGTTTTCTTCGTTCAATATGTTATGTTACATTTCACATTTATATTCACAAGCGCACATCTTTTTGTCACGAAAGATTCAGGAGCACAGGTGAACAGAAACACGGGAGAACAGGGAGAGAAACAGCGGTGGGCCGCCATGTGGCCAGTCCCCAGCCCATGGATAAAAGCAAGGCAAGTTTATTTGTATAGCACAATTCATACACAAGGCAATTCAAAGTGCTGAACAAAACAAGAAACCAGTTACTAGTTACTAGTGTACAAGGCACAACACCATGCTGCTTTCAGCCCGTTTCAGAAAACACTACTTTAGAGCAAATTCTGGGCGCACACCCTTGACGGGTGACGGTCTGACCCACACCCACCGCCGGCTCCGACACGCTCGGACCCTAGCAACGAGGGTGGCCAGAGCAGACGCCAGAGCGACAGGACAGCATGGCTTTATCAAGCAGGACTTGCAGGGCTACAGGGCCTCACCGCGGCACTGAAGCAACATTAATATTAATTTTTGTATATTCTGGATCGTAACGTGCACAGTAGAACTCTACTACCTTAAGCAGGAGAAGGCTGGCGCGACGCGACACCGGGGACGGAAGTTCAGACGTAAACAAAGACGCGACTCAAGGCTATTAATACTGTCAGTGTGCGCCCTCTATTTTAATTATTATTTATGTATTTATTAAAGAGACAGTGCATATTAATATACATTATACATGTAACTATGCCAGAATTAGCCTAAGGGCTATTTTCCATCTGTAGTCCCTGGACAGTTGTTATGTGTCCTTCTGAAGGGAATAAAATTACACACAGCACAATCAGATAAAACGTAACACAGTAAAATATATACAAACAATAAACCTTTTTCATGAGAACCGGAAGTCCTGCCTCGTTGGGTTGTAACACTTCCTGGTTGCGCCGGTACTATGGCGAAACGGCTCTAATATTTTTGCCAACATTAGTCAGTTTCCCAGCTTTTTCATTCACGGTTGCTGAAGCAATCGCAGGGGTGAATTCGTGGACAGATAAACGAGAGAAGGGGTTCTGCGATGAAGAATATATACAGTGGGGCAAAAAAGTATTTAGTCAGCCACCGATTGTGCAAGTTCTCCCACTTAAAATAATGACAGAGGTCTGTAATTCATCCAGTGACGTGCAGTCAGGGGAGGCAGAGCCTCACCTGGCATCATTGAAAAAATATTATTTTAGTCAAAATATATAATTGTTTTCCACTGTCTTGTGCTTATAAAGTATTTTCGGACTGTTTCCGAACAGTTTTGATAATTTCTGTAGTCAAAATTGCTGAAATCCTATTTTTTCTATTCAGAGAGACGAGGTGAGGCAGCGCTCCTGCCTCCCCCCAGACCGCTCGCTCCCACGTAGTGTGTGAGTGCACTCAGCTTGTGCTGTTGATATATCCCTTTTTGTTTCAACATCTTCTATGAAAACATTTGTTAAACTTGTCATAGTGTTTAGTAATATATTGCACGTTTGTGTGTACTATTTATAATTATTTGAAGTCTTTTGATCGGAGAAGAATACTCAAGGAAAAAGCGTGGCGTGAGGCAGGCAGTGTCTGTGCCTCACCACTAGGGGTGATAGTGAGCATGAAGTTCATACCCGAGTTGCTAACACAGACTGTAAATATTTTGCTAACCAACTATCAGTCCTGTCGGTGCTATTTCTTTTGCTGGAAAATGGATGATTGGATCGAGGATTTG